GCAGGGTCCCCATTTCGGGCAGCCGCCTTGGCCATCTGCCGTGCGTGCGGCGAGGGCAGGGTGCCACGCGTCGGAGGGCAGCGCCGGGGCTGGAAATAGCTGCCTGCTCGCGTTCGCCTCCGCACCAAGCGCCCAGTGCGGTTCCACGTCGCCTGAGCGCTTTTGGTGGGGGGGGGCTTCAACGGCTCAGCTGCACTTCCCCTGCGTACGGGAAGCCTGAGAGGCTCCTCGGTGACCCCCCAGTTTGAAGATGGTGCCGTGGTGTGCACTGTGCGCCATCACTGGGGCAGCCCCAAGGCAATCTGAGGATAAGGTCCGGGGGTTCCCGTGCTGCGGAGGGCTGCCGGGCCAAGGGAGAGGCTGCTTGTTTGCTTTCTTTCATGCTCAGCTGTAGCCAAAGCACTGTTTTAATTTGAAATTTGGCAGGGATTTAAGCCTTTTGTAAACTAAAATCGTTCTGTGTTTCTGGAGGAGTGGGGAAGAGAGAAGTGAGGCGGATTTTCGGCTGGAAATAGAGCGATGGGGGCATCAGAGGGAGTGTTTCTGCCTGGTGCCTGTGCTGCTGCTTTGAGAAGCGCTACCCCGTTCACTGAGGGTGGGAGGTGTCGGCCCCCGGCCCCCGGGGCTCCCAGCCGGAGGAGCAGCGCTGCGCCGCCGCCGCCAAACGGAGCGGTGTCAAGGCGAGGCCACGGCGGCTGCTCTGCTATGTCAAAACAAAATGATGTGTGTTGGAGTCACGCTGTTGCTGCGGAGAGAAAAGGGCTGGGAATGAGCAAAGGGAGAAAAGCGGGTTTCAGAGCAGTGCTGGAGCTCTGCCTCTCTCTGCCAAGGCTGGGGAGCGGTAATTTCTGACCCCGTTTTCCTGGGCTTAGCTGGATTTAATGTTTCAGGCCCTCATGGGCGCTGTTTGGCAGCAGCTGTGCACCTCTGACACTCCCCTTGCTGGGTGGGATAGCACTGACCAAGATGGACGTTGTAGCAGCAGGAGGGAGGGGTGAGCACGTAGGAGGGCAGTTGCTGATTCTGGGGAAGTGAGCAGCACAGAGTTGTTTTCCCACTGTGGAAAGGACCAGAGGGCAGCCAGCTACCCCTCTTTTGTACCAGGAGGCACAGCTGGAGATGTTATTGGGAAGTGAAAGACAGTAGGTAGCAGCTCCAACAAGCCACTATCACCTGGTGCATCCAGCACTGGTTGGCCCCAAAGCCTGCGGACCCTGCAGGAAGCAGGGATTGGGAGCACGGGGATGGCGAGAGTGCATCCTGGGTGCTCTCCAGGCCAGGCTTCCCGGTGCCAGAGAGGCTACCGGTGGGCAACAAAAAGGGATGGAAATTGCTGCAAGGTTGATATATTGTTTGGGAAAGGCAACTCTTGCTAAGAGGCTCATTTTGTTCACCCAGAAAGAGCCCGAGAGGCGCTGTGGCCACCATCTGCAGATGCCTGTGTGTAGAGGGATGCATGGTGATAGAGCTCTGCCCTGGTATGGAGGGACCCAGCAGGAGACAGCACTTGGTGTCTGGACTTAAACCAGACAAAGTCAGTCTAGAAAGAAACAGCAGTTTTTTCTCAGTGGTGGTCATTTGCCTTGGAAGAATGTCTCTAGGCTCCAGCAACTGGGGATCGGGTGTCCTCTCCAAAGCAACAGCTCTTGGCTTTGTGCAAAGGTCTCTGCCTGTGGCAGTGGGCACTGCTGGTGAGCCCGGGCAGGCAGGCTGGCGTTGAGTGCGCGTGGTGCCAGGAAGTACATGCTGGTCCGTATGATTCACTGACCTCAGCTTCGCAGGTTTGGAGAGCTTTCCTGCAAAGAGGCACGTCTGTGGTAGTGCACTGGAGAACCTTGTCTGCTCTTGTGCCTCCCCCATCCACCCTGGCAAGGTGTATCGAGCGTATGTCACCCCCTGCTTCCAGTAACCCCCTCCCTGCCCCAGTTGTGTGTCCCTGCCCCCCCTACTACTTTAAAACAGATGTACATTAAAGCTCCTTAATCTCTGGAAATACTAATTCTCTCCTGCTCTCCCTCCATGTGAGTTCATACCAACATGGTACTTAAGTCGCTTCTTGTCTTTGATTAGAATCTCATCTTTCTTTTTCAGGTCCCATAAATTAGCCTTTTAGCTGGCAGTGCTCTCAGATCCAACAGATAACAGCCTTTTCTCGGCATCTGGCTGTTTCCAATAGCATCGCTAGCATCATCTGTTGGGCACGACCGGCTAGGTACTCACAGCCACCATTCAGCACACATGCTTTAAAAAGGGTCTTTCACTCAGGAGAAAGTGCTCTTCCTGTTTAAATACAGTTCCCCTTAACTTTCTTGCCTATCTTTCTCCAGCATGCGTTTTTGTCTTTTAAAATGCGAAGTAAATTGCACCTGAAAGCTGCCCTTTAAGGAAGCAGCTCCACACAGCACAGGGCGATGCATCTTTTTCCCATTTTGCCCAGCAGCTTGCAGGGCTTTTCTGGGGACTGCTTTCCAAGGGGGTCACTTTCCATGGCCTGCTCCACTTATGACAATATTGCTGAGGTTTGTCACAAAGGAGCCTAATTGATGACAAATAGCAGGCTGGTTTCTGTGACGGGAAATCATCTCCACTAGGAACTGAACTGAGACCACCAGCTTCAATTCCCACAGCCAGCCACATACCCAGAGCCGATTTTGTTAACGACTTGAGAAACCCCAGTATGGAAAAAGAAATGTCGAGTTGTATTTTTCCAAAGGCAGCGTAGAGCCCTGCGTGACAACATACAATCTGATAGCAATGAAATGACATGCAGGAATAAGAATAAGGGTCTACCATGGGCCTGAGGAGGAAGGAGAAGGGCTGAGGAGGAAGATACCATTTAAGCAGGACTTGGAGTCATATTAGCATGGGGAATTGAGAAAATTGCTAGCAGAGTAAATAGATTTTGGGCTGGGCTTTTTGTATAAATGTTCTCTCTTTTCAAGTTTTCCCAGAGCTCCTTCCTTTCAGGCTGGAAGAACTGGTGTTCTTTTCAAAGTGTTGATTAACCGATACTTTGTTTTTTCTGGCTTTTCCCTCAAGGCTACCCTGGGAAATAAAAAAGGACCGAATTGCTAGCTTGTTCTCACACAAAATTTAGGGGAGCTACAGTATGGAAAGGCAAAAGACTTCCAACAGCCTTTTCCCACACATGGGCTCCTCGGGCAGACCATGGTCCAATTTTAACCTTTGCTCGGGTTTGAGCAACCTACACTTTCTGTAGGGTTGTGTGGGTGACATGGATGGGAAATCTCACTGCTTGTCTTTTGAGAGAGGACTAGCAAAGCAGACATCTCCGCGTGTGAACTGCTTTGCAAGTTATTTTTCCACATGTTCGGCTCTAAATGTTTGCAAGAGGCCCTCAGGCAGTTCTCCCAGCCCTAAGATGTTGCCATCTGGGCCTGTCAGTTCTGGAAGTGTTGAGAAATCATGTGAACTCGCTGTTAAAGTGAGGATTTACAGAAGATGGTGTGCACCTATGTTTCTTCAACAAGTTACCAGCAGCCTCGAGTCAGCTTAATTACCTGGCTCACTAGATGCAGAGCTCATCTTCAGGAGGGGCAAGTGTTGGGGTTTGTGTGTTCCTGTTGCCAGGTTCACTTGAAAATTCAAAGAAATCCCTTAATCCTTTGAGTGCGGAGGACAAAAGACAATTCTGCCCAAAGAATGGGTATTTGGGACGGTGTCATTAGTACCAGCGTGGAGGATCTCTGCAGTTAGGTGTAAGGTGGCACTGGGGCAGTGTGGCGTTCGGCAGAGCCCCCTGCTCTGGAAGTGAACCTTGAAATGTCGCCGGTGGGTATTGCCTGATACCATTGCCTGTGATACCAAAAAAATGGATTTGACAATTCAGGAGGCCTTTTCAAGTCCTAAATCTCTGTGCGAACATGCATAAATATTCTTTATAAGGTTTTGAATAATTTCTTTGGACGTAGCTTTTTAGGCACAAGTTACATTCTTTGGTTTTGGTTGTTTGTAAGTAACCTCTTTTAACTCTTCTTGCTGTTTTTGCACAAGATGTGCAGTAGCCTTGGTTTTCAACCACAACTGTTTCAAGGGTGTGACTTCTCCTGCTTTCTAGTAGCCCCTGATTTTCTGTATTCCTGATCATTTCGAGGTGCCTCCTCAGTTGAGCACCCCGTGTTATAGGCAGCTTTGAAAAATCTAAGGAGATTGAAATGAAAAGGCATTTTCTTTCAGACAACTGAAAAAGAGCCATGGTAACTATGTGTAGAAATAATGCTAGGAAGACTGCACAGGAAAATAACTTGCTTCTGCTCAGATTACAGCATATGCATTTGGTTACCAGTGCTTGATCTGTGCTGAACAGTGAAAAGAAATGTCACCACTAAAAGGAATTTGGATCAGAGAAATGTTAACATAAATGCCTAGATGTGGACACCCATTTGCTGCTCTCCCCATTTCAACCAGCTTTTGCATTAAAACATATAATGATGATACACGACTTCCTCAAATTACTATGAATTTATCTGAAGCCCAAAGAGAAACTGGGTCATTGAAGCTCTGTGTCCAGTAAGATGTATAGGAAAAGATGAAAAGTAGAGTGTGCTAAATGGATCTAGCATTAGTGGCAAGTAATGATAGTCACTAAGATCCTATTCAAAGTTGTAAGGATAATACCCATGAGCATGTTAATAGTGAATTATGGCCATTATGCAGGCACCAATGACAATATTTTAGTGCTATTCAAGTTATCTGGTTTCTTTGCTTTCGCTCGCTCTCTTTTCTTCTTAAAAGCTGGTCATTTGGTGGTCATGAAATGTGATGTAGTGGGAAGATCCTGTTCTCTTGAGTGTGCAAGAGTATTCATTGAGTTATGCCAGAGGAAGAAGAAGAGTTCTTCCTCCTTCCATGAGGAAGAGCCTTGCCGTAGTTTTAACTATTGCTTTCTTACCACCAGTCTCACAATCCAGTGACCAGTGGCAATAATGCCCCCAAAAGGCCTCTTTAAACAAACAGTGCTTCCCATTTTGTTGTTCTAGTGAACTTCCCAAGAGTGGAGGATGACTTTCCGACCTCTGAACAAGACTTTGAAGACAACGATGATGCAGGTTGGTACTGAAATTCCTCATGGGCAATGTGGGGGAACTTGTGTTTCAGTATCAGATGCTACAATTGCTCACAAAACTCAGCTTTAATGGGAGTTAGGAGCTAGACCACACTTGAGAACGTACACTCAAGTGATGGGTTACTGCCTGGACAAAGATATTAGTTTTCTTTTCTTGTTTTCCTTTTTAAACAGCCAGCAACCTTGCGAAGTCAATATATTGTATTTGTCTTAGGACAAGTGGAACTGATCTTTCAAGCATTAATTGCTGCTTGCATGGCATTTTGACTTGTAAATGGAGAAAATTAAGTCTGGGAGCTGTGACAGATTGTTTCCATAGTTTTGAGCCCAATGGCACTTGAAGGGCCAGGGTTTCAGTGGGTGTAAAATGCTAGCATGCTGTTTACATAGCCTGAGATGTGAAAGTGAATTACAGTGCCTAACTTTCGTGGTAGTTAGGTGCTTTGTGTTATTTCTGGACCTGGGTTAGCAAATCCTGCTGAGATATACCCCCGGAGGGGCTTATCCTCTTGTAAGGCCATCACAACTCCAAGTGAGAAATGCATAAAGATGGGGTGAAAAAAAAAAAAAAGATCCCTGGATAATAAGTGCCCATTCTACCGCAGATTACTTTGGATCGGATAGGAACGACACACTGTTCTCTACTAACTCTCCAGGAACCCCGAAGCTGGACAAAGAAAAAAGCTGGCTCTACACCCTGGATCCCATTCTGGTGACCATCATAGCAATGAGCTCCCTCGGTGTCCTCCTCGGGGCCATCTGCGCTGGTCTGCTTCTCTACTGCACGTGCTCGTATGCTGGGCTGTCCTCGCGGAGCTCCACCACACTGGAGAACTACAACTTCGAGCTGTATGACGGCATCAAGCACAAGGTCAAGATGAACCACCAGAAGTGCTGCTCAGAGGCCTGACCGGTGCCCTGGGAATCACCCTTGGCATTGTACCCGGTGAGGTGGGCTGGCAGGGGGTTACTTCTTTTGCTGTTTTCTATGGGAACTGAATGCCATAACAGGGAACGAGGGGCGCGGGAGGAGTGAGGGGAGGCGCTGCTCCTGTCGCCAGGTCCCACTGGCAGGTTGTGCTCCGCCAGGACCGAGCAGACGTTCCCGCAAACCGGACTGTTCCGGGTGAGGGGGGACCATGACCCTTGTTTGTTGGTTCATCTTCATTTTCTGCTGATGCGAGTGGCTGAGACGTGGCGAGGGAGACTGGTTTACCTTTTGGATGTGAGAAACTAAATGTTGATCGTTATTTCCCACCTCCTTTCTCTGGGGAGTTGCTGAGAAGGCTGAGGGATTTCTTTAGCCACCCTGTCTTTAGAAATAACAGACACACACATGGAGACCCTGTCCATTTTAGATCCCGTCCAGATACCACTTTGGCTGTAGGGATTTGTGCACTTCGCACTAAGTCCAGGAAGCTGCAGTTTCCAGTCCTGAAAATGGAAGCATGTTGTTACCTTCAACTTTCCTTCTCCTGGTAGGAGGGAAAGGTAGGATACTGGGTTTAGTGTCAATGGTAACAGCAGAGCTTTCTGAAGTCATTAAAAAATAAAATAGAGAGGAAACCCTATGTGTAGAAGCACCTCTTTGAGAGAAGCTGAAGAGCCTTAAAGTGATTTGTGAATAAGAGCCATTTATTAAATCCAGATCTTGGATTGCAACAGCTGAGGCCTCCATCAGGAAGGCCTTTCTTTGAATCTCCCACCCCTCTTGATCCTGCCCTTTTTCTTTTTTCTTTTTTCTTTTTTTTTTGCTATAATGAGAAAATTGCAGCAAACAAAAGATAAAGCCAGTCAGCTCCTGGCACTCAGACGACAGCTTTGGGAAGGGAGCCTCTCCAAAGTGCCAGGGAGGGAAAATGAACAGGGAAGGAGTCTGGAGGAGTGCCCACAGCCCCGGGAGCCCGACGGTGGCACCCACTGGCCACCCTCGCTTTTGTGGTGCTCCATTTCTCCCTGGAGCTGGTGAGTGCGAGCTGGCATCGTCAGCACCGATGGACCAAACGGCTGCCGTCGTATCCCCTTTGGAGCAAAGCTGCGCTGCTCCTGATCAGTAGCAAAACCCCGAAGTTTTATTTATGAGCTGTGTTTAGTTTTACTTTGAACAAGTGCCTTAGAAGAAGTATTTTTCCTCCATCTGATGATCAGTGCTGTATCAAACAACAAGTGAGGCCTTCATCCTTCCCCAGCAAAATGCTCTTCTTCGCTGCCCTCTACTAGGTAGAGCCCGGCTGAAGAAGTCTGGTCCTTCTACTTTCAAGTGGTCTGGCTACGTTATCTGGCAGCTGATACCTCTCCACTTACCACTGTGCTGTGGGAGAGGAGTGTTATGAAAACAATTTAATGAAGAAAAAGAGTTCAAATGCTGGGCCCCAAACCAATGCCTTCATTTCCAATACAGTACAGACAGATTGCCCCTGTCAGCTTGCACATATACAAGTGAAAAACCTTTCCAGCGCATTGGGTTTGCTTTTCCAGGAGCTCTTTGGAAATACCTGACATGTCCTGATTTTACATTTTGCCTAGCAAATATTTTGGGTTGGGGATGGATTTTTTTTTTTGCTCACTAACTGCGGAGCGCTGAAGGTGTGATGTGCTGTGAAGCTCAGTTTGCACAGCCCCTGCAAACACATCCTGCAGGAGGCCAGGTGTTTGGGGAGATGAGCAACATCTGGAGAGGAGATGAGCATGGACAGTGCCACAGCTGCTCCTCGGTGTGGTGGGAATAGGAACATTTGTCTAGTGTTTCATGAAAAGCTCCATCAGACAGTAAGGTTTTTTTTAAAAAAAAGACTTCTCCACTGTAAGAAAGACACATGTGTTACCGGGGAAGCAGATACCAGCAGCTGTGTCATCAAAACATCCACGGTTCATACACGCACACGCAGAGACGCGCACACACAAAAGCCTTCATTTTTTTAAATTCACACTGTGCGCCCAACAGAAACGGCAGTAAATGTATCTCAGATTCTCGTTTTGAATCACCTTATTTCTTTTGGCATTCTTCGTGGACAAATTCCATAGGGATGTTATTTTACTGTACAAAAGAAACAGAGGCAGTAAGAGGAAATGTACCAGACCATTTCAAAGCTGGATTGCTGCTGCTCGATGATTCTGTCCCCTTTAAATCACAGGTGAGGGGAAGGATGAATGGAAAAGGACCATACAGTAGAAAAGTTGACTTAGGCAAACAATAGGTGAAAATATATAATTAAAAAGGTGATGTTATGGTGTCTAGTAGGCGTACAGAGAGAAGAGTTCGTATATACATATATTCAGAAATTGTGTGTTTGCACACGCACGTGAATTCTCTGTATGTATCGTGTACGTGACTTATTCCGTGGGACTGACTCGTGTTAATATATCTCTTGATCTGGGGCAGGAGAGTACTGCTGATCTTGGCACTAATTTGGCACGGGCCCAGCGATGCGTCCGCCCTGTGTGTCCCGCTTGCCCCTTCCAGGTGGGGCAGGGCCCACGCGCGTGCGCTTGCCGGGCAGGAGCAGGCCAATAATGCTGCAAAGCCGATACCTCACTTACCTCTGCTGGGTGCTTTACTGTTCTTTTACAGAAAACTGTGTTTGATTGTAACTTCAACAGGGAAAGAAAAAAAAAAAAAAAGTAGCCAGTGCATTCAATTCATTGCATCCTCCTCTGCAAATAGATTAGATTTGCTGATCGCAATTCCCTCCGTGAAATTCAGAAAAGAAAGAAAAAAAAAAAAAAAAAAAAAAAAAAAAAAAAGAAATGGGTATTAATGCCTTTGCTGAAATGGGCTGTTGCCTCCACACCCTTCCCATGGCGAGGACGTGTTGCTAACGGGCGGGCTGTAGTGCTGGAGGATTACATTTTGTGGGAAGGTGCCGGGGGTGAGCATGGGAATTAAACCATTAAGAAATTATATGCAGAAATGGAACTTCTCCAAGGTTTGCAGTTCAAGGTATTTGACCGTTCACTGGCTGAGCCAGGACTTATGGACTTAAAGAGCTTTTACTGTGATTCTTCAGTGTAAAAAACAAACAAACAAACAAAAAACAAAAAAAAATCAAACTGTGTTTATATGATTTGTATAAAAACCTTTTAAAATTACTATTTAATAAACATTATGGTAGAGATTATGTTTCAGTGGCTTTTTATTTATGAAAGAGCAACTACAAGAAAACTGAACTGAGAGGGCTATGGGCAGCCAGAAACCCCCAGGGAAACCAAGGCATGGCTGGAGGCATGCGGGACCGTGCCCACCGCCCTCCTTTGCTGCGCGCCACCCGTCCCCCTGGGGAGGACACCCTGGGCTGCCTGCCACCCCAACGTGACGTGGGGCTGTCATGCAGATCCTGTGCACACAGACGTACCCCGGCTCGGACACAGCCTGTCTTCCTGGAGGCAGGGGTGGCTGGATGCTGCTCTGTGCAAAGAGCAGCTCCTGAGCACAAACCCAAAAGTGAACACAGGTCCCCTTCTGCCGCTCTGTGCTGCTGCCAAGCACTGCCAGCCATCCTGGAGAGGAGTGACGTTTTAGGCTAAGAAAAACATCGTTTAGGACTCAAACAGCCCGGTGCTGAGCAGAAAGGTGCACTCGAGGCTTTGCGGTGCAACCCCATAGCGTGGCAACAGCCAGCCAAGGATGGGATGGGGGTTGGGGGTGCACCTCGGCTGCACATGGGGCTTGGGGTGACTTGGAGCATGGTGGCACAGGCACCACACCGGGAGCAGCCTGCGCTGTCTCTGCTTCCTTCCAGCCAGCCTCAAGGGTGTGCGGGGTGCCAGACTGCCCCAGTTTGGCCACCACGCCAGGGTGCAGGTGTGTGGTGCCAGCATGCCCCTCTCCTGGTCCCATGGCCCTGCAGTGGTGGGCAGTGACCAGGATGGCATGGTCCTCTGCAGTTCGGCTTCAGCCTCACCTCTGGGCATCACAAGAGGTGGCCAGCAACAGGGACTCCTGGCAAACCCCAAAGCCAAGCCTGGCCCCACACACTTGTCTTCTCCACCCTCTCTCCACTCTGTTCCACCAACCTGATGGTGGCCCCGGCCTGGGGGAGTCTCACGTCTCATGGGGTCCCAGCAGCCTCCTGCTCTCCCTGCACTGGCCAGTCGGGATCCACCGTGGGGCTGCAGGGAGCAGGCTGGAGAAGCAGTAGGGCTGAACCTACAGCATGGAAACTCTTGTTTATTTATATGTGCCCTGACAAACAAGAGCCAATCCATCAAGCCCTGGGCACCTCCAGAGCAAATGAAATTTTGCTGCTGTCTCCTTACCTCCAACACAGTGGCCCCCTCCCAAAGTGTGTGTATGTTGAGAGGGTCTTTAAGCGATGAAGGGCAGCTGGCAGCTTAGATGAAGATGACAGTGTAGCTGCAACCTTGACAGCTCTTCCTTCACCCAGGAATAAAGAACTGATGTGCAGATTGATACCTGGGGGAGAGGCTGTCAGCGAGCAGGACAGAGACAGCAGATAAGCGACTCAATCAGTGTCAGACCTGTCCTGCCGTAACACCGCCTGTAAATCACTGCGGTTAAAGAGGCGCCTCCGCTAAAGCGAGGAGCAGGAAGCAGGTAATAGAAAAACAGGCAGCGAAGCAGATGTGTGCACCGGCCGGGTTAAAAGCCTGATAGCTGGGCTGCAGCTGCCGCCTGGGCACGAAGGGGAGGCAGGCACCCACTTCAGGAAATTGAAAGCTTTAGGGTTCTTTTTAGCGGGAGCTGGGATTGCATTGCGGCTGGCAGGGTAGGGTGGGAGCTCGGGGCACACGTTTCCCAGCTGCATTTGCCATGCACACATGGGCGCCTGCCACCAGTGGAGGCTGGAGCGTGGGGGGCCACACGGCTGCTCCATGTGGCACAAGAGTAATCAGTGGCTGAGCGGGCTAATGAAATCGATTTCACCATTCTCAGACTGCACCAAGATGCGG